TTCCACTCGTGAAACCACATATCAATTTCATGGCTGCAAAACTGTGAAGAACTCCAATGGATGAAGAAATGCAAATGATCAGTACTGACATGGTTTCAGGGGACTTCATGATGAACAAAATTATTAAAGATCAACAAATGGTTCTGTCCGTTATGAAAGTCCCCAATTCCTTTTTGGTTCATTTGACATTAATTGTGTGTTAGGGATAGAGAGTATATAAAAATCAGTTGTGGTCATGTGTCATTTATATTACAGACAACCTGTTGAAAACCAAAATCAACTGAAACAACCATAATAAAAACCTTGTCGATGCAGTATATTTTTAAGATAGTATATCCCTTCAAATTTTCATTTTGGTAAAATAACCCTCCAGAGTAAACAAAATTGCTTGAAATATCCTTGTTACTCCTGAAAAACACCATTTAGTATCCCAATAATTACCTTTTTGGGGACTGGAGGGAGTGAAAAAAGTAGGTCCTTTTGGGATGGGGTCAATAATTTTTCTTAAAAATAGAGACTTTCACTTTTTTTTTTGAAGTGTCGTGTTGAATGATACTTTTTTAATTGATCCTTAATGCAACCAACATATTTTCTATTTAAGTTTTATGACTACCAGTGGGGGGAAAAATAAAAAAAAAAGGAAATTTGACAGCACAGTACTAAGTGAGAGAATTGTCTTAATGAGACTAGTTGAAGATACGGGCATGATTTTAATCTTTCTATACAAATTTGGGGACATTTTATATTAAAACTAGTAAAATGCTGGAAACACTTTAATAGTGCATCTTGCTTTTGTTACCAAAAGTAGTGTCTCAGTCTCTTCATACTGTCAACATCTTGTTCAGTTTTCCAGTGTTACTGTGAATTGTTTCCGTTCGATATATAAAAAAAACGCTTTTATTTGGTGTCATTTTTTTCTCAGTGACGCATGTACTGATGGAGAACTCAGTCTTTTTTGCCTCATTTTTTATGTTAGGTCTCAGTCCAGCAAGTAAGTGCTGATAACTTTAAACACGTGTTAGTTCTTGACTCGAGAACAGACAAATGTCAAATACAGGCCATGTAATGAATCAGATACATCATTGTTCTGATACATCTGTGTGGGTCCTTTGTGTCCTTCAGGAAGGCGTTTGGGGCAGCGCAGTACTGGGTGTGCAGTACTGCTATAGCACAGGGTGCGGTTCAGGTTACATCACAAAATGTTTGTTCCTTCTTCTTTTAAGAAGGCTGTGCAAAATCCAGAAAGATCAAGAATTACACTGAAATAGTATGTGTGTATATATAGTCCACAATTTAGTAAAATGGTAAAACAGTATATGGTGTCTTATCTTCACCGAGTTTACTGACTTCTGCAGAGTGGTCTTGTGCTTGAGACAGCCCCCAAATAGAAAAAGGTAAGGGAGCATCTTACTAATTACTAAGGTCTCCTACCTCTTTAATGCATAAAATTAATTGTAGTTATTCAGACAGGATAGAGTAGGCAAAACACTGAAGATATGAAATCTGCTCATCAGTGGTGTTACTGAGAGTTTGCTTCTTATTAAAAGAACCTAAAACTAAAGCCCTGATGTGACACGCGTTGTCAGACATCAGCATCCTGGTGTATTCGACAGGGCTATTCTTGACATCGAATCAGTGTTCGTTCTTGCGTTGGCTCTGAAGCCAAATTAAATGAATGCTTGACAGGTAAGGGCCTGAAATTATATTTATCTGAGAGTCTCTTCTAATTGGATAAATGTGATATATTTAAAAGTTGATTTAAAGATTACCAGTATATGTTTCAGCATCTTTTTAATAAATTTGGTGATAGTTTGTGATGTAATCTGTTGCCAGGGAAGGCTACTAGCATTTTTTTGTAGCCTGAGGAGAAGAAAAAATATTAAACATAGTATAAGCAAAACCAGTAAAGGTGTGTCTGTTCACCACGTTTTTCATGGATCCATCACGTAAACTGGGCTTCTTACCCTCTTGCATTTCACTTTTGTTTATAGTTTTCTTTTAATAAAGGTATTTGTATTATATATATTAAAAGTTTCAACAACATATTATAAAAATATATATTTTGGGATTTAGTATTTAAACATACCACTCTTTCAGTGAATAAAATGAAATGGTTTCTATCGTCTGTAAAATAAATATATATATATTCATGGAAGTACTATCAACTCTAGTTTTAACAAATTATATAAATAAATTGGAATGGCAGTGTATTTAAGACAAGCTCGTAAATCGTGTTTTCCAGGGGAAAAAAAATGTAGAATTTCAAAGTTCTGTGACTGGATGTGGAAACCCATGTAGTTTTCCAGCAGCTCTTAATTGCTTTTAAGTGTTCTCCAGCATTTTACAGTTTCTGAGTTTGATATAGCAGTAAATTTTGATAAACTCAGGCATACTAATGGGTTCATTTTAATGGATCCAAAGCTGCAGTGTCTACAAGCAATAAAAACCTACCTAGAATACACTGTAATTCAATTTTAGTGCTTATTAATTAGTTTATGTAAGAAACCATGAATTATTATTACATAACTGTAATTTTTGCAAGTGCTATTTTAAGCAGTTGATGTGGAATTGGGCGCATGTGACACAGCCAGTATGACAGAGTGCTAGAGTTATTCTGTTTACAATAAACAATCTGAATTTAATGTTTGGAGTTCTTAATTTGTTTCATTTTAATTTTTTGCATACTGGTAATGTTACATCTATCAGTCTACGCATGTTTTTTATTATACGTTAATTGTGATTTTTCTGCTATCCAGTTGCTTGAGCTAGTTAGGCTGAATAGCTTTGCTGGGGAGGTGTTCCCACTCACTTCTAGGGAAGTTTCAGAGGACTTCCCCAAGTGGCATCCCACACCTTTTAGGTAAATCCACTTCTGTTGCTCTCTGAGTGCATGAAAACTTAATAATATAAAGGTAGAAGCACTTGCACAAGACAGGATTTTAATTATCAAATCTGAAATTGTAAGTTCAGAGCCATCACTGCAGCCAGAGCGAGTCATGCCTAGTGCAGCTTTACAGTGTTGCTTTTGAGAATTTACTTTCCCTGGTCATTTTCTTTGTTTTATGCACACCGAAAGATTATGTTTAGAAAGGTTAGAAGTAAGTGTGATTGTTAGAATGGTATATAGTGTCAGTTCTGAATTCTGATACCATAAAGATACAAGTCAGCAGGCACTTCTGCTATTCTCATGGAGCTCCTTGAAGTAATACCTGACTGTTAGCAATGTTGAAAGAGACAGGTTTTGCCCTTGGCATTGAGAAGAGTGGTTGGTGTGCTCTGTGGAGACATAAAATGCCTGCAACCCACCTGAGAAATTGTTTGTCCGCAGCATCACGGCTGTCTTTCTCCACTCCCAGTCATTAGGGATTGGTGTAAATCTTGACTCATGGGCTTTTTTATCTTTTACAAAAGATCAAGCTATCGAAATTTACTTTGACTATTAGTGTTAGCCATAAAAAAATGCTTGAGCTTTTTCAGCATATTGTTTAAGCACTTGGACGTGAACCACCCTTATTGATCATGTGTTCCACAGTGTAATCATAATGTGTGGAGAAAGCATTACACGTTTTAGCTTCATTTATTATTTTCTAGCTCTTGTTTTAACAGAAAGTCAGCAGAATTTTAGTCTATCATCTTTTTGCCGTTTAACCGGTTCGTATGCTTTTGCTATAGCTCCAGTGTAAAGTGAAAAATCATTATTTTCTACACCTTTTGTCATATGTTTTTTCAATACTTTTTTAATAGGTGACCATTGAACTCATATGGTCATCTACAGTGATGTGTGGGTCCCTCCCTTAAGCAGATACCTAATTTG